GAGGCCCTTTGGCCCGGGAGCCGTCTCCGAAGCCCGGGGAGCCCAGGAAGCCCGCTGCCCGAAGGCCACGAAGCCCGCTGCCCCAGGGAGGCGATTCGGGGGCCAGGGGCCCAGGCTGCCCCACGGAAACGATTCGGGGGCCACGGATTCATGGACCACGGAGCCGTGAAACTTCCTTCTCCTCCTTCAATTCCTCCTTCTCATCCTCCTCCTCCTCCTCCTCCTCCTCCTCCTTCTCAACCTCCTCCTCCTCCTCCTCCTCCTCCTCGTCCTCCTCCTCCTCCTCCTCCTCAACCTCCTCCTCCCTCCTCCTCCTCCTCCTCCTCCTCCTCCTCCTCCTCCTCCTCCTCCTCCTTCCTCCTCCTCCTCCTCCTCCTCCTCCGTGACGAGGGCTCCCTCCATCTCTCCAGCCAGAGGAGGGCATCCTTCACCGCCTTCTTGGTCTTCAACTGCTGATCGTACTTTGGCGACATCTCTTCCCGCAGGCAGCCGCGCGCATTGAAGTTGCAGTCGTTCTCGAGGCCACGCTCCACGTCCGACACGACCTGGTCCATCATTCGGTTTGGTGTGACGGTACCCTCCAGCTCCTGCAGATGTTTGTGGAGGGCCTGTGTTTTTGATAGCTGGGAGCTCCACCTGAGGCACCAGTGGGAGGGGTCGCATGGCACCATAGCCCTATTCCGGCACACCCCTCACACGCTTCGTGGCTCCATCGGGAACCCCACCGCACGCCCCAGTGGGGAGGTTCGCATGGCACCACGGCCCCATTCTGGCACACCCCTCACACGCGTCTACCCGAAGGCCCCAGTGGGGGGGGTTCGCATGGCACCGCCGCCCCATTCCAGTACACCCCTCACCCGCATGGCGGCGCCGCCCCATCTCGGCACACCCCTCACACGCGTCGTGGCCTCATGGGGAGATCCACCGATGGCGATACTCACAACGACGGCACTCACAACTACATGTGGTTGGGTCCTTCGCTGGGATAGCTTCTACGACGAGCCCTCGGACAGAAACCCGCACGAAAGGTAATTGCAGAGCGAGGCTCAGCATGCTGAAACTGAAACTCTTGTGCCAAGCAGAATGGCCTGACCTGATGGCGTCAACTGCCGTGGACCGTAGCCTTGTCTGACACGCAGTAGGTCGGTCCCTCACTCCCCTCCCTCGTCCTTCCTCTCGCTCTCCCTTATCCCCAAGGTTTGATTAAATTGGTTTCTGCATGCACTACTACATCAGGCCCGGGAGCCCCGCCTTCTGTCAGCCCTCGAGCAGGTCGACGGCATCGAGACGGAGTGCGGCGGCACGATGAAGATCGAGAAGGCGGTGCTTGGGTCCTCGTTTCGAAGAGACGGCGCCCCGCTTTCCTTGCTCCCTTCCTCCTCCCCCTCCCTCCTACTCCCTCGGCACACCCCTGACACGTTTCTTGGCCTCATGGGATGCTCCAACTGAGGCCCCAGTGGGAGGGGTCGCATGGCACAACCGAGCCCCTAAACAGCCAAACTGGGCCCTCTTACTGACGCGCCCTCCCTCATTGCACGCCGTCAGCGGCGTTCGCTGCCTAGGCGCAGCCTCCCTCCAGCGAGGGCGCAAAGTGAGCTGGGCCGGGCTCAGTGCATGCCCTACTGCAAGGCCGGCTTTCGCCTTGGGGGGGGGGCGGGGGGGGGCGCCCCCCCCCGCCTCGCAGCGGCCCTGCTGCCGACCGCACTTTCGGCCAGGCTGCGAAGAGGCATCCGCTGCCTTGCTTTTTCTTTTATCCCCGTCACTCTCTCGGCGCTTCAAGCGCTGCCACGAGGAGGTGAACAGGGGGGCGCGACGTGGGGGGGTCCGTGGGAAGGGCTGCCCACGCGCGCGAAGCTGCTGCGGGGCAGAGACGGCGACCGCTTGAAGAAGTAGTTGCCGCGACGTTTCGGGGGCGGACAGAACCCCCAACAGTGACACGTCGATTAGTGACTTGTCCGTTTTCGGTTCTCGAGATGGCGCCGCGGCCGTTACTTTACAGGCCTGCGCCCGCCAGGTTTGGGCCTCGGGTCGTTTTCACGAAACCACGCTTTACGAAAGGGGGTTTCTGTCCGTCCCCGAACGTTCGCCAACGGAACGACGTCGCAGCGCGGGCGCGACATGCAATGGGGCGGGCGCCGCAAACATCAGGAGGGGAAACAACACACAGACACAATTAATCGGCGATTCCCAGAAAATATGGGAAAATATGGGAAGTGGGGGGGAAGACAGAAACCCAGAAAATATGGGAAAATATGGGGGATATTTTTATTTGTGTGTATTTATTTGTGTGTTCCAGTTCCCCTTCAAAACAGCAGAGCGCAGGTCGGCGGACAGCACGGCGGCGGGCGGGCGGGCGGCGGGCGGCGGGCGGTGGGCGGCGGCGGCGGCCGGCAGCTGGGGCGAAGAACGGCAGCGGCTGCCTGGGCGGCCCGCGTCTGCCGCCTTGGGCCCCCCAGGCGGCCGCTGCGTTTCTTCGCTCGGTCGCCGTCGCGCCTTGCGGCCTCCTTCGTCTCCTCCTCCTCCTCCTCCTCCTCCTCCTCCTCCTCCTCCTCCTCTCCTCCTCCTCCTCCTCCTCCTCCTCTCCTCCTCCTCCTCCTCCTCCTCCCCCTCCCCCTCCCCCTCCCCCTCCCCCTCCCCCTCCCCCTCCGTGATCTTTCCACATTGCAGGTTCGGGCTGCGAAATGGCGCAGTGATGCTGTGGATGAGCAGTGCGATGGCGCTCCTCTCGCGGCGATCCACGACGACCGTCTGCACCCCTGCTTCTGGGCGGCGCCCGCCTCTGTCGAGAACCCGGGCACTCTGCTCTCCATCGCGCTGAAGACGACTGGCTGGCAGAGGCGAAGTTGGCCTGGCATGAAGAGTTGAAGCGCGGCGACCTTCGCCCCCTTCCTCTGCGCGTGGCGGCTGAGGTGTTGAACCAACGGTTGGCCGCCGGAGATGGCACTTCGCCGCTACCTCTCGCGTGCGTTGTGGAATCACAGCCCTTTCTTGGATCAAGTATGCCGGGGGGGACATTCGAACGCTTCTTCTGTCGTTGCCTCAAAGCTGGAGAATGGCGGCCACTCGGACATGGAGCAGCAGTTGGTTGACATCTTATCGGATCGCTCACCCTCATTTGCGTCTTGGTTGTAGGTTCGGATGCCCTCGACCTGATCGTCTCTCGCGCTGCCTCTCCTGCCTCGGGCCTTTGAGAGCTACGAGTTCTGCCTTCTTGCATCGCGCCCCCCCTCAGCGTCTGGCCACGATGCTCGGGATGGTAGACGTGCGACTTGAAAAGTTCGACGAGATGCACGTTGCCTACCAGACGTGCGACCTGGCCCTGGGACAGGGCGGCGGCGCCCAGCCCCGCGCGCTGCTATATTTAACGCGAAGTGCCCTTCGATCGCAGAGGCTTACCAGGCCAGCAACCTTTCTCAAGAAATAGACCCAGTCGCCTGCGGGTGTCGTGCAGCCGCTGATACCCAGCAGCTCTGTTTCCTCTTCTACTTCCTCATCCGGCTGTGCTGGGGGCCCTGCCGGCGCCAGATTGCAAGTCCCATGGCCTCGTTGTGCCGTGGAGGCAGATGGGGAAAGGTGTTGGCACAGGATGGCGCCTCATCCAATTCAGTGCTGCGGGCCAGCCCCGTTGCCGCCGTCTGCGACGATGACCTGCTAGAGCACATGGCCCGCGGGAGCCCAGAAAGCGACTTCCTCCTCGTCTAGGGCGCCGACACCGCCACGTGCTGCTGGTGCTCCCCGCCCGGCCTTCAGCCTATGCCGCGCCCCGCTCTCGCTAGCATGCCTGAAGTACTGCTTGTGTGGGTTGGTTGCGAGGGGCGCCGCTCTCAGTAGGCTCCCACGTTCACACCCCCCTCTCTTGTCCTCCCCTCGTGAGCCCTGCTGGTGTTCCTGTGTGCGCCTCTCTCGCTTCCCCACCTGCTGCCTCGACGTCTTGTCAGAGTGGGAATGGCGACTGCGCCCGCCGACGCCCACGGCCTCGAGGACCTGCCCGACGAGGCAGGACGCCCGATGACCGCCACCCCTGCAGGAGTGGTGGCCTAGAGAGCAGATGATCGAGGAGCTCTTCTACGCTCGTCTCCTCCTCCTCCTCCTGCTCCTTCTCCTCCCTCCCCTCCCCCTCCTCCTCCTCCTCCTCCTCCTCCTCCTCCTCCTCCTCCTCCTCCTGCTCCTACTCCTACTCCTACTCTTACTCCTACTACTACCCCTACTCCTCCGCGTGCGCCTCGGCCGCCTCGGCCCTCGCCTGCCCCGGCATGCCTCGCCAGGCAGCGAGACCTTCGCGCCGACTTCCCAGAGCCGCCGCCAGCGATTGCAGCGTCAAGCCTTCCCTGCAGGCCGGGAAAATGGGCGGGCCGACGGCCCCGGCCTCCAGAGCTCCGTGGGCCACTCGAGCCACGGCGCATCCATCATTGTGGCTGATGTGGACGAAGTCCTCGGTCAGAATGCTGCGCAAAAGGGCGAAATCACCGCCCCGAGTCTCAGCAACGGCGCGCGGGTGGCACAGAAGTCATTCGGACCATGCGCGCGGAAAAGTGTCTTCGCAGGCCACCGAAAGTGACGGCTTGGACCCTGCGGCCTCGCATCGTTGCGGCCGTGAGTTCGCGCAGGGGGAGATGAGCATCTCCCGCATCACGTACGCGGCAGGTGTTCGCCAGGGAGTTTTTTCCCGAAACGCCCGCTATGGCGCACCAGGTAGTTATTTCGAGAAGCTCCAAGCTTGTGCCCAGGGGGGCCGAGGGGGCCACGGTGTGACCTTCGCTCGCGGCGGGGCCTGTGGGCGGCAGAATAGTAGACCCCTTTGACGGCAGCTCACTACACGGCCCCTGTAGCGAGTGGCCGCGCTGCTGCCCCGCCACACTCGCGGCCGGAGGGCAACGCGACCTGGGCCGAGCAGCTTCCCGAGGTGGACGAGACTGCACAGGGGGAGGAGGACGAGGAAGAGGAGGACGAAGAGGGGGAGGAGGAGGGGAGGAGGAGGAGCAGGAGGAGGAGGAGGAGGA